AAAGAGTGAAGAAGAGTTTGACTCTCTTTTTTGCTAGCACTGATGGCAGTGATTAAACAGATCATGAATGTGTTGTCCTGAAGCAGATGCTGATTGTTATTGTTTTGTGTTGAGGGAAATAATTGTTTTTGACCTTTTTAAATGCTCAAACTGCTGCTTAGTTCCTTTGTTCTCCTGTTGGAGTCAAGGAAATATTTAAAGCCCAAACAGCTTTAGTAACAACTGCCAGAGTGGGTGTAGCAAAGTGTAGCTATATTCATTCTCTGTGAAATCAATGTATTCCCAATTCCCAAAGAATGTAAATTTTAACTGGGTAGCGTGCCTATTTCTCTTCCCAGCCTGGAATTTATTAACATTTAAACTAGGTGAGGAGTTTATTTGACAAGAAAAGCCTATTTTATGAAACCTGGAACGTGATCTTAAACCAGGAAGGTAGTTAATAGGTGCTTAGAGGCCCTTGCATCTCCCATAGTTCTGCCTTTGACATAACCTTGTCTTTGTCTGTGCCTCTGTAGGAATGGAAATGATGTATCCCAATAGATTACTTTTTCCACCCACAAATGCGTATCACCTTCAGTTTCTAAATCCTTTTAGTATTTACTACAGTGAAAGTTGTTGTAGGTATTTTTCCATTTGTTGACACACCCAACCCATATCTGTGAGAATATTCAAAATCCTTATCTTTCCTGCATGCTCCATTGAAGAATAAAAAAATCACCACCTTACTTTTGCCACACCGTAGAAGGGATTAGCAACTTTTGTACAGTCCTGTAATTAGAAAATGCTATGCTTATTTTATTATACAGCTAACATGTTAAGAGTTATGGTAGAATTTCTCATTTAGGGCTTTCATGTGGTTAAATTGTAACCTTCTGTCACAGATTCACCAGATCTGCACTATGCCCCAGCATATAAAAAGCCTCTTGGAGGAAACTCTTCAGAGTGCCAGAATTTAAGGAGTTTTCACATTTCCTTAAGGATAGGCCCTGCAATCTCTCTGCTTCCTAGATTGAACCTCTGGCTTCCAGCATTTCTGTTTCACGCTATGAGCGCTGTTCGATGAATCCAACTGAGGGCATGTCTACACTGCAAAATGTCAACCTACCACCACCCATTAATTACTGCCATTTTTCATGTCTACACTACCCTCCCTTCTGTCAGCGGTGTGCATCTTCACCAGGAGCACTTCCACCAACTTAGGAAGAGAAGTGGAGGTGGTGGATGGCTGAGACCCTAGGCTGTTGGCTCCTTGTTGATCTCGCTGCCAGGAGCCTGGCTGCAGCTGGACCTTTCAGCTAAGGGTTACCTTCTGCCTCGACTTTTCTGGGGCATGGAGCCAAGCCCCCTCTGCCCCACATCTTGCCCTGGGGTCTGCAGTGACTGTCAGCCCTGCTATCTGTAGCATAGACAAGGCCTGAGGTATACTCCTGGTGCAGATTTGTTCAGTCTTCGGGGATGGATGGATGGATGGATGTGCTTCAGCAAATACTTACAGTGACACCCAAGTAGAGTTTTTAAACAGATTAGGATTTATTAGGCATCTGGAACACAGCATTGGACATCTTTAACGTAGCACAGTGAAAGAAAGATTAAAGCATAGTCCATTCTTGTCAAGCCAGAGCAATTCACCATCCAAGTTGCATTGAACTCCATTTTCAGACTCTTGAAACTTAACTAACTTTTTGTTAACTTTCACTGTTGATCACTTGTAACAACAACCTCTCTAGAGAACCTGGATATCCCACAATTCCAAACTGCCTCCCATGATTCTCTGGGAACTAAAAGTTCAAATGTTCCTATGCAGCTGTCAAAGCCTCAAGCTTTCCTTCATGGCAATTTCTACAAGGCAGTTCAGGGTTATGGGCACAAATATGTAGCACAAGAAAAAATGAAGATTATGGGGCAGTGTAAAAACCCTTTAACTTAACTGAGAACTAAAATCAAAAAGAATTATATATTAATTGTGGTTTTTTTACATATTAAAATTACCCGAAGTGTCTCTAAAATATTGTAAACTGAATTAGAGTACTACAATACTTCTAGGGCTCTATGGCAGAATTTAATTTCAGATTGCTCCTTCAAGTAGAGGTTCCAGAACATGGCTTCTCTTGTAGTCATCATTGGAAGGAGTTGTTCCACTTGCTTAGACAGGGTGAGAGTTCATTTTAAGAAATTTGGGCCTGCTTATGCCAATGGCATAATTGTTTTTAGTGCTTTGGAGGTAGGTGTATGGGGTTTAGAAAGTCTGTTTAATTTTAAGTCAAATTTGAAAATAGGTGTCAACCTGGATTTGGATTTGAGACTCCTTTCTGGGCTGTTGAAGACAAAGGCACTTGATAAAATGACACTCTTACTCTGCAGGTATGGGAGTCCATACTGCACACTGGCTATGTAAGTGACTTCAGGAATAGTGAGAAAAATAGATGCTGTTTTTCCAAATAACAAGCTCAGGGAAATGGTGCTCATGTTGGGGGAGGAATAAGGTACTGTAAAACCACCTATAAAACAAATATTGTTTTGTGTCATAGTATTGTTTATAGCGCTTTGCATGAAGGGGATTTACAGGAAAAATGGCAGAGCCCTGAGATTGCCCAATATATAGGAGTTTAAAAGGTGAAAAGAGCCCTTTCCATTAATTACATGCTGGCTTCTCCGGTCCTAAAGAATTGCTGACGGCCATCTATTTTTCCTGTTTCTTGACACTTCTCACTATTGTTGCTGTTTTTCTTTACAGTGCTACAGAGACGTAGGGAATAATTCTGCAGCTGTTCACTGGATGAATTTGGCTTCAGAGCTGCCAGTTATCACAAATGAGGTAGCAATCTCTGCTCTTTGTCATTGATTCTCAAAAATGTAACAAAAACCCTTTAAAATTTAACTTTAGATCCATATATGGACTTTTCTATTAACTTGATCTCTGGGAGCAGATGAGTGATATTGAATAAATGTTCCATCCCGCTGTGAAATCTGGTAAAATTAGTTATTCGGCATTTTTCTGAGAGAACCAAGTCAGTTAATATAATAGCCAAGTGTTTATGTGGATATCTTGTTTTGCTTAAACCTTCAAAATGTTAAGATTAATTCCCATTAAAATCAGCTTATATCTTACAAACATCTGGGGGCTAGTTACTTATTTTATAGTATCCAACTGGATTTCAGTGGGGTTTGAACAAGTGTATATCTTAGCCTATCTATCAGCTCTTCTTATCTAAGTGTATCATAAACTTTAATCTATGCTAAAACTTCACACCCTGTAGTTCACAAAGTTTTTTACATTGTTCTGTGAATTTTCTGCCAGTAAGAGGTGTGGTGGATTAAGAGTCATGGAGACTGAAATTCACTAAAAGATACAGCAAAGATAGTACGAACTTCCTCATAGCTCAACCCTGATCTGGAGAGTTGGGAGAAAGGTCTCTAAGCTTGTTCCTTTTGTCTTCACCTTCGAAGATGTTCTATCTTATCACTTTATAATTATCCACTCCTTTGCATAGATACTTGCTTTTTCATTGCATGACATTTCAGAATGACACAAGTGATCAAGCACCATAATGAAAGCCATTGAGCAGTTGCTACTGTTTCCAAGTATGGCTGCCCTACTAGCTGTAGCAAATTTTTAAAAATGCAGGAAGAGCAGTTGGCCTAAAAAAAATTTAAAAATTGAAATACAGCTTAGTAACTTTAGGTAAGCTTCCATGACTATTAATATTATGTGACATATAGAATGTTAAATACCTCAGGCACAGGAAGACATCTGTATCTTTTAAATTTAGCATGTGGTGTAGTAGGATATATATATCACACCATTTTTTTTGAAATCAGGTATTTATAACTGTTTCTCAGCCTTCTCTGAAAAATGGACTTTGGGAATAACATGGTGGAGCTCCCTGTTTAATGTTTACCATATGACTCTTTCCAGGTTGCAAGGGTTTTTGTTTTGTTTTTTAATCCCTAGAGCCTGTTGTTCAAATTAGGAATTCAAAAGATGGAGATTTTTTTTCTCTTTATTGTATCGTTATTTATTCCATTTGCAATATCTTGCTGTAATTGTTTTGATGATGCACAAATAGAATAGAATCCATCTTACCTTCCTATAGTCCTGTTGGCTTTGCAGTGCTAACAGCCATAAAAATGTGTTTTTATTAGTAAAGCAGGCTTTGTCTACACTGCAGGGGTTTTGTGCAAGAAGCTTTTTGCAGAAGATCTCTTCCGCAAAAAGCTTCTTGCACAAAATCACGTCCACACCGCAAACGCGCATCGCAAAAGCGATATGCTTTTGCGCAAGAGAGCGTCCACATTGCATGGACACTCTTGCGCAAGAAAGTTCTGATTGCCATTCACAGAATGGCCATCAGAGCATCTGTGCTTTTTCTGATAGGCTTTTGTTCCACAAGAAACCCCTGTTGAGCATCCACACACACCTTTTCGCACAAGAACTCTTGCACAAAAAGGAGTTATTCATTGTAGAAAGAGGTATACTTACACCACAAAAAGCCCTGTGTTCTGCCATATTACTGTAAATGTTCTTGCGCAAAAATGTGCTTCAGGTGTGGATGCTCTGTGGGATTTTGCGCAAAAACCCTGTAGTATAGACATAGTCGCAGATATGACTGGATACAACAAAAACAGATGTAACATGTTGCTTTATTTTAAATAATTTTATGATTATAACCACACTTTAAGTATCACTTGAATTGATATGTAGTTAAGACAGCAGATTAAATTGAACTGGTAGACTAATACCCTCTCTTGCACTGGTCTGACAATAAGTTTCTACTGTAACCTGGAGCTGTTGATCATGGAGTGGGTTTTGCTAGTTTATTTTTGTTAGGCCAGAACTGATCAGGAGCCCACCAAATTATTTGAGATGTTTTCTTCATAATTATCAAATTTACAAGTAAACTAATCCAGACAAGACTGCTAGATCTTAATCCTTCATGCTATATAATAAACTCTGATGTATAAGGCAGTATTATAGAAGTATGCAGTTTTGTTACAAGAAGTATTTTAAAATCTGTATTTTAGATGGCATTGCTGTAGCCAGATTATTGTGCTAGAGTTCAGGCTGCAGGTAGACAGGGAGTCTTAATCAACCATCTGCAACATGCCGACTTGACAGTGCTGCCATCTCCAGAGCATTATCCGTTATTGCATGCAGGTACTGAGCTCCTAAATTTTGTCAAAGCAAAAAAAAACAGGGTATCAAACTGAAGAATTGCAGTATGTGAACAGGAAATCACCAACATATTCAGCCAAATGAGTAGCTTCCTCAGCTCAAACTGGTTTGGAAAAGCTTTTGCCAGAGCTAGGCAGAGACATTTGTTAACTGGAAACAGGAGATTGTTCTAAAAGAATGAGTAGTATATGAGAGGAATCAAATTTTAAAAAAGCTGTGAGGTTTCAAGAAAGAGACAAAATCAAGGACTCATGAGCACTTACTTTCTTTTTTTTTTTTTTTTTTTTAATCTGGCCTAGAGAAAAGAGCAGCATGTCTCGAACAGGAAAATGAGGGTTCAGTAAGGCAGTCCAGATAATATTTATATAGTGACTTCAGTTTTTAATGTAATTGCATGCATTAATTCTCTTCACCTCTGTACGGTAGATAGGAAACTTGAACATGCTAATGAAAAAACAGAGGCAAAAAGATGAAAAGGTTTGGTTCAACAAAGAGTCTGCATGAAAGCCAAGATTAGAACCCCAGAGTTCCTGTTTCACAATTTTTGCTTTCAGAAGTGAAAAAGAAATAAAAAGGAAGACTTCATCATACTATGTGGAGAACCTTAATATAATTTTTTAAAAAAAACTATAAACAGGTGTATCAGATAGGAGGAGGGATATGCGAAGCTTATTTTAAAAAAGTGTAGGATTGGAGAAGAAAATGGATCCAAGTGAGTAACCTTTAATTTTGTAAATGGGCCTGGATTAAACTCACTAGCAATTGTGGTGTTTATCATTTCTTTCTTCACTTTCTCAGGATGAAAAAATCAAGAGAGAGATGGAGGAGCTGCAAGGAATCTCAGAAGAATAAATATTTGAGCCCCAGTCCTCTAACTGTGTGTGGACAGTACAAATTCCAGTCTAAAGGATTTCACAATCCAGATAACTGGATTGGGCTTCATGGGCAAACCACAGTGTTTACAAAGAACAAACCAAACTGCAGTTTCAACAGCACTTCCCTGAGGATTTTAATCTTGGCAGAGACTAAGACTAAACTCTAAATCTGTTCGTCTGCCTGCCTGCTACACCAGATATAGTTCAATGAATCCAGCACTTGACCTTTTTAGTGCAGCAGTGATCAACTTGATTGGATTTTAATTGATTCCGCTAAACTTTTGATTTTCACATTCATTCACCTAAACCTTCCAAGTAATATTTATTATTCAGTTTCCACGGGGAGAGGACATAAATATGTAAAGTTCAAGATGCGATGTGATCCTATTTAATAAAAAGTCACAGGTATGGTCTAGTGTGTCATGGAGGCAGGGAATCAACAGCTACCCTGTGTTTCTCTGAAGGTAGTGACAGCCATTTCTAATAGGCATAACTGAGGGTGTCAATTTTTCCTTCCAGCTGAGCTCTGTTTGCTTGTGGCTTTTTCAAAAGAGGTTTCAGCAGTTGAGAATCCAGGGTGGTCATGGCAACCCACTTTCAGTACTAACACTGATAAAATGCGGGCCTGATATTTGCACAGAGGCTCCAACGAGGTACCAGGGTAAAGCCACTGTAGTTGGTGTCTCATTTTACATTGGTTCTAGCTGTCTGCTGTCCTGAAGACAGTGAAACATTCTTATTTTCCATTACACTTATGGCTTGAAGTCGAAAGTGACACTAGATCGTAAGAAAAGACAGTTACTAAGAAACCATAATACCAAAGGCAAGAGTTTTTGTTCAGCCCGCCCTCTCTCCCCCATTTTCTGAAAACATCAGTGATGTCCAGACCCCTTTGCAAATTCATCTGGCTAGTTAGTGGTTTTAGTCATCAAGGTGAAACCAGCAACACTCATCCGCTTATGCGAGGAGGCTAACATCAAGGACCAATGTCTCATAATAGTCTGTGATAAAATCTTAAACTTGGAACACAAACTGGATTTTCTCCACTCACCAAAAATGCTAATCCTTTAATCGAGATGGACACTTCCAGATTTCTTAATTATGAAACATGGACATCTTCTGCACTCCTCTAAATCTTACCTACCTGATGTAAACAACGAAGTTCAGCAGTTGCAGAGGCTAGCTGTAATCTTTATGAAGTACTTGCTGCAGAAAGAGAGGAACCACATGGCAAAATTGACAGTTCCAAGCAGTGTCTTTCTACCTAATTCTGCCAGTTAATGAATTCAAAGTATAAGCAAAATGACACTTTGAATGGGGGGCGGAGGGAGAATCAAGCTAACCACTAATATTTGTTCCAGAGAGCAGAACATTTTTTTCTTCCTCTTAACGCTTTTCCAGAGGGCAACACAACTTAACCTTGTTCTATGCACAGCAGTTTCACGCAGGATTCTAATTGGACTTCCTCTTACATTTCTAATTTATTTTAGCTAGCAACTATCTGTGTGTGGGCATTAAATACTTTTTTACATATTGTATAATATGTCTGATTTGCTGTAAAACGGGATTACGAAAATATTCATTTAAGTTGATTATGCATCCTGTAATAGAAAATGAGATCTGATTGCCTTTCTTTACCACATAAACATACGTACTAAGGGAACATTTATTTGGGGAGGGGGAGACACTTTGGCTAAGTTTTCTCTAGTCTAGCTTCATCATAGCTTCGATGAGGCCTTTTGCAGTTAGCTTTCCCACGGATCTGAAGTTCTCTTATAAGCTCTCTGAGTCCTTGCCTACTGAGTTGCATTCCCAAGCAGGGGAAATGCTTCCAGCGTCCAGTCCAAGTTGGGAAGGAGGAGGGAGCAGTTTGAGCCCTGCTGTATTTCCCAGGTTCCTCGGGACTCATTTTAAGCCTGGAGAGGAGATATGACACCCTGCAAGTTTCACCTCCTTGTTCTTCAGGTGTCCTTAGGACTTACCCTAGTCAGTTCGCTACGTTGTCCTTTTCATCTTCGCAGCCCCTCTCAGTTCTGCCCTGCCCAGAAACAGCTGGTCTATAGTCCCACAGTAGATGCAGCAGCTCTGGTAGATTGGGGATGCTGCATGCTTGTCTGACGAGATAAGTACCAAGGGAGTTTATCCCAAGTCACAGCTGCAGCACGCTTTGGATTTTATACTGTGGATTTTAGGCTACCCTGTCATCCCAAAAAGGAACAGAGGAGCCAGGAGGAAAGTGCTGCAACAGAGGCTATGGGTGGGTTGCAATACTTGAATAAAAACTGGACTGGGAGGTGGAGAGGCCTTGAGAGGAAAACCACTGATCACTGCTGTCCCCCAAAAACCCTTTTGGTAGATAAAAGGCAGGAGCACTGAAGCTACTGCCCCATGGACAGAATGGCAAATCTCCAAATAGTTAACTGTTTTAACATGCTCTGGAAGAGAAGACTTTAGAATTATTCAGGTTTTGAAGGCATGGACCCACCGAGAATATTTTAGTTAAGATTATATCTACTTGTTTGTAAGTAGATATTAGAATACAGTTACAATTGGAAATTGCCAATTGAGCTAGTTGGTGGCTTTCAGACTTTGGTTCTGGTTATTCCTTTCACATCTGAGTGTGATCCTTATAAATTAAAAACACTTTTTAAATATATTTAATACCATTACAGATGCTTGAGACAAAGTAGGGTTTGGGATGAGGCTGACCATTTGTGGACTTCCATTCCATGTAGTAACTTTGCAGCCCCCTAAACAGTCCCAAAACCCAGTCTGAAAACCCCTGAGCTAGGTGAAATGAGATTGAGCACCTAATTAACTGTCCCTTTCTACTCCCTTAGCATTCATTTTGGATGGATGGTATTTGAATGTTTGAGCAGTTGGCCAAGTCATGCTTCTACTCAAAACTGATGGCAAAACTCTTGTTAAATAGGAGTAGGATTGGGGTGTTTGCAGAGCATTCTTCTTTGTTACATAGAATAGCTCCTCAGGTAACCAAGGAGTAGATCAGTTCCTTGTATGTCCCTGGGATTTGCTATAGTTGATGTGGAGACTTGCACAAATGTGGGGAGCTAAAGGTTAGGCAGGTCCTGGATCGATGTTAATACAAAATCTGAGAATTGTTCCCTTACACACATACCACTAGTTGACAGTTTAATTGGGTCTGTGGAGTACTTGATGGAAGACCTTGGGAAAAAGACATATTGAGTTAAACACCTTCAGCTATGAGAGTTAAAATGTCTTCATTGAATAGGGGTGGGGAAAGGACAGTAATGAGTAAGTTCTTTCCTCTTTTTGACATTGTAATGGGTCTCTAGTTAGATTACTTCAAGTGACAAATGGTGTCTTCTCTTTGCCCCTCCTTTCATCCCTCTAATTCTTGTTTGTGAACATTTACTCTGGGCTTTCTATGTATTTGGCTTCCTGCTTCAGTTGCTTGCATTTTTGTTTGTGTGGGGGCAGAGGAGTTGGGTTTTTTAAGTAGACTTCCATTTGTTTTCTGTAAATAAAGATTTTATAGCCTGGAATTCCATTTTAATTTAACTTACCCACTGTGCAAGTTCCCAGTGAAAAGTTCAGGACTGCCATATTCAGGTGCATGTACAGAGAAGATTTCTAATGAAAGTTTCATTCCTGGCTTAACAATTGAATGGAGACTTGAATTCAACAGACACTGTTTTCTAGTCAGATATGTTCGCTGGCAATTAGTTGATGTGGCTCAAAGAACATGAAGAAATGAGATGGTGAAGTCTGCAGTTCATTTCAAGCTGAAAGGCTCTATTTTTGTTGTTGCCATCCTGACTATTTATGGCAATGATTCTTGGTATACTATACTGGGTATCAAATGATTAAAAAAAATTCTAGCTTTCTGTGTTTATTTCTTGTTGTGAATAAGATAAATCTGATGGAGGAATGCGGTTTCAGGTTTAATGAAAAACATAGTTCTCAAATTATGGTAAACACACTCCTAACAACACTTTGGGATTTTTTATTTTAAGCAATTAAATTTTAAGTCACCTCTTTGGAGGGTATGGGTACACAATAAACCTAAGAGAGTCTGGCAAAGAATGGCTCATGCAGAGAAAGGTGGCAGGAGTCTGTTCTTCCTGTTAGTAAGGAGGATGCACTTAAACAGCCTCAGGTAAACACAAATCTTGTTTGCTTTTGTTTTCTGTTTGTTTGTTTTTTTTTATTTTTTTACCTTTGCACGTGTTTTACTGACCAGATTTGAATGTTACTGTGAATTGCATATACAGGCAGTCCCCGAGTTACACGGATCCGACTTATGGAGACCATGGAGACGGGGAGCAAAGCTGCGGAGCACGCGGGCAATGGACAGCCCAGACGCACCACGGCTGTCCCGCTGCCGGCATCCTCAGAGGCTTTGCTCCCTGTTTCCCTGGTCTGCTGGTCTCCAGCAGACCAGGGAGACACGGAGCAAAGCCGCGGAGGACCCGGGCAGTGGGACCACGGTGCGTCTTGGTCCGCCGCCCGCGTCTCCCTGGTCTGCTGGGGGAGGGGGGGGGACGCAGCTAGTACGAAATGGATGATAGGGGAGGGATCACATGAGAATTACCTGTTATGTTCACTCCCTCTATGGCATCTGGTATTGTCCACTGTTGGCAGACAGGATACTGGCTGGATGGACCTTTGCTTTGACCCAGTATGGCTGTTCTTATGTTTTTATAGTATATGCATGTGGATGTGAGTATGTTTTAATAAATCTCTAGGAACAAAGAATGTAGGCTAGATTTGCATTAAGAAAGATGTTGATAAATTAGAGAGGGTTCAGAGAAGAGCCATAAGAATGATTAAAAGATTAGAAAACATGCCCTATGCTTAACTCTGCCTCGGGCTTCCTGTAGTCAGCCGCTGGTCAGTTTCAGCAGCAGCTGAATCTGGATGCCAGTTCCGACTTACATACAGATTCAACTTAAGAACAAGCCTACAGTCCCTATCTTGTACGTAACCCGGGGACTGCCTGTAGTTGACTGCGCTGTAAGCATTCCAGGGCCATAAGTGGCAGGAAATTTGGATAAATTAAGTAAATGTTAATTGAAAGACACTTCATCCTGCTGACTTCTGAAGCCTTTTTCCAAGATTTATTACAGGGATCAGAGATGAGTATTATTTTTCCTGTAACTCATCTTGTGGTGTTTGTATGGCATATCTGTGTGTGGCTAATATATTCTGTTAGGTTATTTCACAGTTATTATTCCAAACTGCTTTTAACTTTACTGAATTATTTTGACTAAAATAAAACATTTCAAATGTCTAAGTAGAAATGTTTCCCTTTAATTAATTGTAGTGTTGGAACCTTCCTCTTTGTAGTAATGATCTAAGTAATTGGGTGAGTCCAGTGACAGACATAAATCTTTCTATTAAAAAAAATTGAAATCACATCATGGATAATGCTGGAAATACTATAATGAACATATGGAAATATAACATGTCAGACTGTTTTGAGGCTAGAGGGTGGGGGAAAATGATTTACACTTGCCGATAGTGTGAGTGTGTATAGACACACACACACACACACACACACACACAGCTGTTCATACTTTCACTAACATCTATACACTTCCTTTAAAATAATGTTGGTGATATACTCAGAACTTGATTTAAAGTGAATTTGTCTTGTTAATCATTTGTACTGTTGGAAATTTGGGTTATGTCAGTCTCTAGCCTCTCTTACCCAAATGATCATCTTCAGAAAGTATGACAAATATTAGATTTAGTTTTAACATTTAAACTCTTTAGAATATTATATTTTATAGCTCTTTTCATTTGAAAGCATTGCAAAATTGAAGCAAACAAATATACCAAGTATACAGAGCAATCACGTCAGCCTTCACTGAAATTCAACTGCCAGGGAGTGCAACACTAGCTGTATAACAGTACAGAGTAATAACATTTTGAGGTGGAAAGCAAGGAACACTGTATGTAAATGAAGCTACAGGAGAAATGTAAGTGTAATGTAATTATCCAAGCCTAAATTTTAGCTATATTCTGGGTCTAATATTCCTCTCTTGGAAGAATGCCATGGAATCCTCATTTATCACAAGTTCTGGGGAAACTGGTTTTGTCTCATTTCAGATGGTGGAACTTTCAAGATCACTGAATTCTTCTTCTAATGTTCTGGGTAAGTTCTGAAGGCAGACTGGACTATGCTAGAAAATAAAGTTGGCTCAGTTATGTCACACATGGACAATTTGAAAATGCATGCTACTGAGTGCCAACTTAAGTCCCTATGTACACAATGTTAGGTCATCTACCAGTTCTGGCAGAGGTGTAGTACCTGTACTTGCCTGTTGGCAAAGGTAGTGACTACACAAGTGCTACTTCTCTTCCCCCATTTCTCAACCGCTCAATGCCTTAGAGTTTCCTCCACAACTAGTTTGTTGGGCATCCCCTGCAATGTTAGTGTCAAGGCTTCAGAGCTTCAAGTCTTGAAACTATTACAGGACTTTTGCAAAATAATGCTGTAATCTTAGGTTAAGAGTTGGAATGAGATTGGACATAGGATTACAGGTACACAACAAATGAACAAATGTATCAATCTTTTTTCTGTCTGATCTTTCCTGTTTCCCCAAAACATCTGTTCCTTGGAATGTCTCTTCCCTCCCACACTTGAGAAATGACGCTGGTCAGCAAAGCATTGCAAAATTGTTCAAATAATTGCCTTTAGCTGTTTTTCCCTGTAGAAAAGAGCTGTAGCCAACATGTTCTACAACAGCATGCTGCAAACTGGCATAGCGAAGGATTTACTGTTGCATACGAACATTCTAGGCCTAAATCCTAGAAGCTGATGGATTTGTTGGCCCCAGAGGTCCTCTTTGTTGTAATAGTGCCAGAGGGGTGCAAAGACAGATGATCCTGAAGGTAGCTAAGTCCTTGTACCTTGATATATTTGAAAAAATATAGGAAGAGACTTTGAGAAATCATCAAGTCCAGCCCCCTGTGCTGAGTCAGGACCAAGTAAACCAAGACCCTCCCTTGTCAAGCATTTGCACAGTATTGTATTTGTGACCTTGTATGCTTCTTTACTGATTTTTACTTCTGCATCAAAAAGGCAATTACTCAATAAAAGGTGGTCCATAAGTCTACAATGCCAGCATCACTCAGAATAGATTTAGATATAGAAGTCACAAGCTGGATTGTAAAACCAAAGATTATTGTCCATGGAACTGGGGTAAATGGACGGTACAACTCTGAGCTATGTAATTAGCAGAATGCTAGAAGGCTGCTCTCTGGCACCCATAGTGGCATTTTATTTGCCAGTAGTTCAGACATGTTCAAAAGCTTGGAGTGAAGAGCAGGAGGAAAGTGAGATGTAGGGCTTTTAAAATGCTATGTTTTGATCAGTTATTGAATACTGGGTGGTTTATATGTGCAGCTATTGAGTTTTTAATTAGACAATAGCTTTGTCCCTCATTGGACAAAGTGAACCGTCCCTCCTTTAAATATGCTGTGAAGTCTTGTATTATTTGGTCTAAAAATCATAGGATATATTATTTTGTGATCAACATAAATTGTCCCACTAAATGAGGCTATTTGGGTGTTCTGGTGTAAACATAAAAAGATTTGGATGCCTTCCCTTTTGTTTCCACATCCTGCCCCTTCTAGCCTGGGTTCTAGTTTAGACCTTCATGGAGTCTGCCTGCCTCCCCACATGACACTCTTGCAGGATCAGGATTCAGATGGGCATATTTCTAACTTCTTCGAGTGATTGCTCATGTCCATTTGAAGTAGGTGCATGTGCACCTTGTGCACAGTTCCCCGGAGCTTTTTTCCCCAGCGGTACCCATCGGGCCGGCAGGTCGCCCCCTGGAGTGGTGCCACTATAGCGCAGCATAAGTACCCTGCCAGCCCTCCCCCCTCCTCAGTTCCTTCTTACCGCCCGTGACAGTCGTTGGAGCTGCTCTCTTCTGCTGATCCCAGCATGTTTTTCTTCCCCCGTTGGCTGTTCTTTAGTGTAGTTAGCTTAAGTAGTTGTAGTTAAGTGCCTATTAGTTAAGTGTGTTGGTGCTTGAACCCCGTAGGGGTTCGGTGATGCCAGGCCCACAGGGCTTCAAACCTTGCATGGAGTGTGCTAAACCCGTGCCCAAGGATGACCCCCATGAACAGTGTCTGGAGTGTCTGGGGGAAGCTCATCTGACCACAGACTGAAAGACTTGCAAGGGATTCAAGCCACGAACCAAGCGGGAGAGAGACTCTCACCTTAAGTTGCTCCTGATGGAGTCAGCGCTGCAGCCCGTGTCTTCCAGAGAGGCTTCGGTGCACAGTGCACCGTCGTTGGTGCGGGACTCGCGCTCAGACCTTTCCCGTACTGAAGTGCAGAAGAAGGCAGCACCAGTCCCAATCCCTGGCGCCAAAGCGGATGAAGGACTCCTGGGGTAGATCGCCCCAGCGCCAGCCCCACCAGGAAGGCTGCCGACGGAGCCGGACCCCAGTACCGGACTCGTCTCTTAGGCAAAAGAAGAGGCAGGCCACTCACTGAAAGGAGAGCCCCGGGCCCGCCTTGTCA